CAGTACCTGGAGGGGAGACTCCTGGGAAAGCTGAGGCTGCTGCTGGAAGAGGTGTTAGTGGGGCCAGCAGGGGGCGCTCACCCTGCGGTCTGTGTGGGTCCTAATGCCCCAGTATAGTGACGGGGACACTAGACTGTAAACAGGCGCCGTCCTTCGGATGAGACGTCAAATCGAGGTCCTGACTCTCTGTGGTCATTAAGAATCCCAGGGCGTTTCTCGAGAAGAGTAGGGGTGTTACCCCGGTGTCCTGGCCAAATTTCCCCCCTGGCCTTTACCCATCATGGCCTCCTAATAACCCCCCTCTCTGAACTGGCTCCATCACTCTGCTCTCCTCCCCACTGAGAGCTGGGGTGTGGGGAGCGGACTGATGCCTCATCCAGGTGTGGGTACACACTGCTGGGGGTGGAGGGGATCCCCATGACCTGGAAAGAGCTCTGAGTGGAGGCTCCAGAAAGGCGCTATATAAGTGTGAGCAATTATTATTATTAATCTACACATAAGTGCATAAAGCAAAATACAGCTGCTTCGGAAACTGCAGTTGAACAAACAACTAGGTAAGTTACTTCAGAGTTTGGTTACAGATCCAGACAGGCACAGTGGTGAGCATTGTGTTTTTGACGCTTCGCGGTTGTGACCCCACAGGAATACCTCAAGAGAGAAAGTAACCTCAGCAGACACGCTATCCAGATGATCGGAGACATTCTGAACAGCCAGTCCCTGTTTTACACCGCCTTCAGCGAGAACCTGCGAGATGAGGCTGACATCAGCGATGACGTCAAGTGAGATTTTCAAATCGGCGGCGTTTTCGTGGAAAAAAGCCAGATTATCAACCTCAACAACATGGCTGGGCGGCTTGTCCCACACTCCCACCACCCTTGGTGTAAAGAAGCGTCACCTACTGTACATAGATCTGTGAAACAGACCTCATTCTTTCTTAAAGTCATCCCACACCCTCGATTTCCTGTTCAGTTTTGATAAGCAGTCCCTTACTCACGCAGCCTCTAACATGATGTGATATAACCAGTACGATCCCCGAGAGAATATTTCAGGGGGAATTCCTGCTACTCCGAAGTTTGAATTCAAATTCGCGGCTGATCCCTAAAACAAAGGGAATTGTGATCGCAAAGTGTGGCAATAAATTGAATTGTAGAGTCTTCAGCCATGAAGTTATTCTAATACGGAACCCACACTCGTGTTCCGGGTGTTTTCATTTTGACAGGGCTGGAAAAAAGAAACAACAACCCCAAAATGACCTGTCCGTTTGATCTGTTTCCCGCCAGGTTTTACAAAATCGATGGAGGCACGGATCTGCTGCCGCAGGCTCTGAGACAAGACCTGCGGCGCAGCCGTGTGCAGCTGGAGTCAAGAGTTTTGGAAATAAATCAGACCGGCGAGGGTGTCCGGGTGGCCTACAGACACAAACCGGACAACGCGGTCCAAACGGCGGCGGCCGACTACCTCCTGTTCACCGGCACGGCCAAGGCGACTCTGAACGTCAGATTTAACCCCTCTCTCCCCCTGCAGAAGAGAGAGGCCCTGCGCAGCGCCCACTACGACAGCGCGACTAAAATCTTTCTGGTCTTCAAGGAGCGGTTCTGGGAGAAGGAAGGCATCCGCGGGGGGAAGTCCGTCACGGATCGCCCGTCGCGTTTCATCTACTACGGGAGCGAAGCCTTCGAGAGCGGGGTCGGGCTGGTGCTGGCGTCCTACACCTGGGCGGACGAGTCCCTGTTCTTCCTGGGCATGAGCGACGAGGCCTGTCAGGAGGCGGCGCTGAGCGACCTGGCGGCCCTCCACGGCGAGGGCGTCCGCGCTCTGTACGAGGGCGGGGTGGTGAAGAAGTGGAGCCTGGACGAGTACAGCCTGGGCGCCTTCGCCCTCTTCACCCCCTTCCAGCTGACGGATTATCACCGGGACCTGTCCGCGCCCTCTCAGCGGGTCTACTTCGCCGGAGAGCACACCGCCCTGCCCCACGCGTGGATCGAGACGTCGGTGAAGTCCGCCCTGAGGGCGGCCCGGCGTATGAACCACGACGCGGCCGCCAAAGCCGTTCATCACTTAAAGACCGAGCTTTAAACAACAGCCAGGCCAAAATATGAAAAAAAAAACGTATTTTCATATGTAGGTGTAGGGTCATTACAGTGCGTTGTGCTTGCTGTTTATTTCTTCTGTTTTATACTACGATTTGTTTCATACCGGGTGTCCTGTATTATTATAATCTAGAAACGATATGTGGAAATCTGCAAAGTTTATAGAGAGAGACTGAAGACGTGCTCTTTCTAGGCAGTTGAAGTCACGAATGCTGTAGTCAGTTATAGAGGTTCGATGAGCTGCAGTACTGTATCTTTTTTTTAAAAATATGATTGTATCTTTTACAAGAAGACAGAAGGATACTTTATCTGTCATTTCAGGCCAGCCACAGAGCATGTAGTCCTATTCAAGGGGGGGAGTGGATTTCTAGAAAAAAGTAAAAAAAATCCCATTGAAAGCATGAAACGCAACTGGTGCTACAAGGGGTGTTTGGGTCTCAGACGTTTTTTTTTAAGGGTTTGTATAAGGTCAGTGAGTTCTGGAGATGGATAGACGTCTGGGTTTAGAAATGTACATTCAATGTATGTGATGTACATTTGCTAAAAAATAAAAAACGTTTCAAAGCAGATTCTCTGGTGCTTTATTTTCTGTTTCTGCAGACATTATTCACAGTGAAAACGGAGAACACAGGGAACTGACTGAAAATCCACAAAACCGAAAGTGTCTCAGTTCATCAAGATCAACACCTGGATCAAGGCTGCATCTAGGGAAAGTAATGGGAGTGGAGAGATCTTTTATAGCATCAAGGGCAGAAGGCAGCTCTTTACACGCAGAAGTGTAGGTGCGTGGAGCAAGCTGTCACAGCTGATCATTACCGCTGGCCCCACTAACACCTCTTCCAGCAGCAGCCTCAGCTTTCCCAGGAGTCTCCCCCTCCAGGTACTGGCCAGGCTCCCACCTGCTGAGTCTCCAGTGGGGGCTGCCAGTGGGGAGCTGCAGGGTGACAGGGCTGCTGGCTGCAGGTTATCAGGTTAGATTTGTGCAACTGGGTCCTGTTACTCTCAAACCTCCAGCCCTGAGCTATGCAGACCTCACCCAACAGCGATGGGAGGTGATATTGCACCGGTCTGGGCCTCCAGAGCAGAAGCATTCAATGCTCCGAATAGGAAAAGGAGATTAAAATAACTTTTGTGTTGTAGTGGCCAGTAATAGTTTAGTTGTGGCTTCAGGTGTAAAGTATCCTGGTCTGTGTGCTACTGTAAATTTGCTCTCTCCAGAGCATCAGATTTGAAAATATGGGGACCGAACGCTCTGAAAAGCTACAGGTTCGGTGGATTTCTTTTGCCTTTTGTTTTGTGTCTTTTGCAAATAGTCTTCCGCACTGAAGCCCTTTCTGAAATAGATGCTGTTGCTCCCTTGTCTTCCAGCAAGACCTGTTTGTCCCTGTAGTGTCACAATCTTGATTCTTATGAAAGAGATTCTTATGTGCTCCTTAACAAGTACTCCACATAAGTCTTTGGAGGGGAACCGGAGCCTATCCCAGCAGGCAACAGGCACAGGGCAGGGTACACCCTGGGTGGGACGTCCATCGCAGGACACACCCACTCGCACCAGAGCCCGTTCTCCCAGAAGCCAGTTCACCTCCCGAAATATTTTTGGGACTGTGGGAGGAAACAAAGGAAAGCCATGTGAACACAGGGGGAACATGCAAGCTCCACACAGACAGCACCCCGAGTCAGGAGTCTAACCCAGGGCCCTTAGCACAGCGTGAGAGCAGTGTTAACGACTGCGTCGCACGTTTTCAGGCAGAAATGTCTGTTAAGAAATGGAAAATGATTGTGAACCTTGACATCGCCCCCTGTGTTTCAGCCAGTTGCTCCCCACCTGTCCAACAGTCATGATCACAGACGTTTAATGGCAAAGATCACACACAACTGAAGAGTGACTGGATCATCTTTTAATTGTACAAAACGGCAAACAGCATTGTATACCTTCATACTGTATGTTGATTAAATGGAGGAAGAACGTTATACATCATTTTTAATTCAATAAAACCAGACTGGGAGATTCCTGGGGATGCCAGGGTTATAAGAAACAGGATTGGAGGACACTGCTGTGGTCTGTCGTGGGACCCGTTTTTTTGCTCTCTGTCTCCACCTTGTGGTAGCCTGTTGTCATGGCAGGCGGTGAGCTCTGTGATGTCCAGCTGTTAGAGATGGCGGTGCGGCCCCTCACAATCGCACAGAGCTTCGCTCACAGACCCAGCGGAGCTCTGTGCTGCAGGAATCGGAATGAAACGTGCTTATGGTCCCTCTTAAGTATCCACAGCTTCTGTGGCTGTCATCACCATCTGTGACCCTTCAAGAGGAGGAGTAGAGTCACTGTGAGAGTCTGGTCACCTCAACACACCCTCGACTGACCGTAACACACTAGACACAAAGCTCAACATCACCTCAACTGACCGTAACACACTAGACACACAGCTCAACATCACCTCAACTGACCGTAACACACTAGACACACACCTCAACTCAACACAACATCA